TCTCTTCCTTTCGCAAGCAGAGGCCCTTTGTTCCTTAAGCCTCTGACCCTCTGTGTGTGGCGGGTGCCAGGGGCCAGGCCAGCGAGAATCGCCTTCCCCTTCAGGGCAGCAGAGGGCACTGGTTTCTCCCAAGTCTCAACCCGTCCCAGAGCCCTTGTCTCAGATCCCTGGGTGACACAAAGCTTCCCCTTCTGTCCAAACCGTGCGTGGACGCCTCGCACGTGTCTTTCTGCAGCCAGGACGTTGCGGGCTCCCGCATCTGTCTTTCTGACCGGCCGGGCCGCGCATCCCTCTCTGGGCAGAGATGGACCTTCCTTGCTCCGCGCCCCCACCAGGGGCCTGTGGCAGGAACGTAGGGCAGGCCTGGAGGGTGGCCAGTGGAGCCTCGGACCTCTCCTCCTGGCCCAATGGGGTGATGCTCTCTTGCGGAAGCCCCTTGCAGGGCACACATCCAGCCGTGCAGGAAGCCAGCACCGCTCTTAAAATGGCAAGTCGAGGCTCAGGGCTGGAGCATGCGCTTGCTCTCCTGCCTCCCTCCCCGCCTCCCTCCCCCTGTCCCTGAGATCCTGCATCGACCACCCCCTCCGGGCCAGGCCAACAAGGCGTGGGCCTGGCAGGCACCCTGTGATACCCGGGGGGACGTGTGACACGTGCCCAGATAAAAGCCAGCACAGCTCGTTCTGTACCTGAGAAGCTGTAGAACCAGAGGCTCCAATGCACGGAGATGAAACAGAGAACACGTTTAGGAAGGAGGGGGCTCCCACGACAGCCTCCCCGGGAGAGGCCGTCACAGACGCTTCCGAGTCTGCGGCCTGAGGCCTGGGTGCCGCCTGGCAGGTGGAGGGAGGGTGACGTCTGGAGGCGCTGACGGCTTTGGAGCAGGAGAGCACACGGCTCCGTGGTGCAGAAACCCGGAGCAGCGGCCACCGAGACGGCAGCGGTGGCGGCAGAGGATGGAGCAGAAGCACCGCCTCCCGCCTGACCTGTCCGGTCGGGGTCAGAACGAAGGACGGAAGCAGCCTGGCCGATGGTTCCTGCAGGGAGCTGTCCTTCTTGGGGCGGGCGGCCGTCTGGCTCCTGGTCCTACTGGAACTGTCCGAGAGCAAGGAGGGGGCGCTGCTGGTCACCGTGGTGGGACGACGGGCGGCAGCTTAAACCAAAGGCGGCCGCGGGCATCGGGCCCCGCGTTCTGTATCCCCGTGTTTTCAAATACGTTTATTGAAGGAATTGCGGTAACGTACACATTCCATGAAACTGACTGTCGTAAGCATCTCTCAGCGTCCGGCTCAGCGGCGTTAGGGACGTTCTCGATCACGTCGTCTTGCCGTCACCGCCATCGTGCCCAGAACTTTACGCCTTCCCAAACGGGAGCTCTGTCCCCGTGAAACACTCACCCCACCCCTCCCCCAGCCCCTGGGGCCACCGTCCACTCCAGTCGCTACGGCTCTGCTAGCCGTGGGGACCCCATGGAAGTGGGACCTCGTGGTATTTGTCGCCACGTTTTTTAACTTTTGGAAAAAACTAGAGTGGATGGACAGTCAAGAGGGACGTTTCCCTTTGTTTTAATTACTTCACTTTTAAAACCACCCCTCCCTCCAAATCCTCGGCGTTAGAGGAGGTGGGTGGGGGTGGGGCACAGCTGGAGTCCAGGTGCCAAGGCGTCCAGCACCCCCTCCCGGGATGTCCCCTTTCTTTATGCGCAGCAGTGGGCGGCCCCGCAGGAGGGGAGTGCGTGCTCCATTTGGGCCTCCCGGAGCCGCCCTAATAGGTGACGTTTGAAGCAGAGGGCCAGGCGGGGAGGTGCCCAGGGGCCCTGCCTCTGTCGTCCAGACCGGGAGGCGTCCTTGGAAGGGAT